TCCATTTGATGCATTTCTGCAGTGCACTGTGCAGTGAACACCCATAGACTCAATAACCTTGGCTTATTTAGCCTGGCAAAATATAGGCTATGGAGATATAATTTATTGTTATAAATTCCAGGGAGGCAGGGCAGGGGTGAAAAACCCAGAGAGCTTTTAGGCTAAAGGTCATTGCTCGCAGAAGGAGACATTGGTAAAAACTGGCCATGAATAAATGTGGGAATTTTGTATGTTTTCTTCTAAAGGGCAGTGAGGTTTTGAAACAGCCTTTGAGTAGGAGGTGAAAGGCATATATTTTGATCAATTTATGGAACGAATTATGACTCCATTGCCCACAATAGCACGGAGTTTGATTCAATGGTCCAAAAAGTTCTGTTTAGTTTTTTTGTTTTTTTTTTTTTTGTTCCTTCCTGTGCAGTATAGCAGTGTTAGTAAACTTCTATGTGTATGTTTCTATAGGCAGGTTAACACCAAAAAAAAGATGGGGAGTAAATTTAGTGCTGTCAAAGTGAGCAGAACCCCACTGAAGTTGTAGTTGTGTCAGTTTATGCCTTGTCTTGGTTTTTACTGTTGTTTTTTGTCATTTTGTTATTATTCAACACTAAGCACTTGCTGAGTGCTTATCCCATTGGTCTGTGTCCCACGGGGCTTAGAATTTAGAAGACAAACAATTTTGTCAAAAGTAAAGGAAGAAATTGCAGCAAAAGACAGATCACAATCCCTCCTCAGAACATAGTGACTTTTAAGCTTTTTATTTTGCATTAAAGTCCACGTTATCATGATGGATGTGGGTGCAAAACTAACATTTAAAGTGATAGACTGAGCAGAGGAATGACTAATGGAAAGAAATTACCAGTGAGCAACCTGCATATCCCCTGACACAATTCTTTGTGGAGGAAAAAAATTGATTATACGCAGTGTGACTTAATTAGTTATCCTGTGTTATATCTGTTCTACATCATGTCATCCTCTGTTTTTCCTTCAGGGCCAATATAGTAAAATTACGTTCCGGACTCCCTTCTACGTTGGCGGTGCCCCCAGCATGTACTGGCTGATCAGAGCCGCAGGCACCAACCGTGGGTTTCAGGGCTGCGTTCAGTCGCTCAGCATCAATGGAAAGATAATTGATATGAGACCCTGGCCATTAGGAAAAGCTCTCAGTGGTGCTGATGTCGGTAAGTGTAATGGTATGGGGTCTTTAATCAGTGATAAACCACGGGTTACTTTTTTTGCCTGTTGAAAAAAATTGAGCAATGGTCCAGGTTTGAGAGATGGAAGGTGTGGTGTCTATTTTTGGCATGATATTTCTCTGTTCCTTTGCACATTGCTTTTGCTGCGTCTGTAGTAGGAGACTTTTATCACATTGTACAAGTAAACATCAGTGTAGTATAACAAAAACCCTTGTGGAAGCAGTTGTGGAGCACAATAATAAAAGCAGTTCTCATGAGCAAACAGGAAACTCAGTGTTGCCGATATAATTACGTCTGCACGAGTATTTCTGCCAACATCTCTCAGGATGCCTCTTTGTGCTCCTGACTGACAGTCATATCATCAGAAATCAATAGTATGCACGCTGTGTTTGTATTTAAAACACTATGGACACAATAAAATACGGTTTTTGCCTAAAGGCATCATTGCACTTGTCCAGAGCAATGCAGGGATCTTTCAGACCCACAGCAGTGCAGTGCAAAGTGACCATTACAAAGGGCTTTTCCCCATGAAACCCCATTACTGCTGAGGCAAATAGGCTTTCCTGTCGACCAGCCATTGTTTTCATTTCCAGTATGTTTTAAAAATACCATGGAGTAAATTCTTTCAACAGCTTTATGAAGTGGCATTATAACATTATCTCCTCTTCACAGGTTAAAAGATCGAGAAATAGGGAAGTTAATTAACTAGTCCTGTCTTATTTATTAATCTCTATTTCATCCATGTAATGCGCACTTGAAAAAAAGATAGGGGCAACCAAATCCTTGCTTTAATGATCTCCCAGTCTAAACAGTTTAAGAGTAAGTGTAAACCCAAGTCAGAAAGCAAGTGGTAAAGGCAGGAAATAGATCCCATATCACTGAACTCTCCGTGCGATGCTTCAGCCACAAAGTCATCTTTCTTCTCTTCTCTAGCTGTGCATTTGACATCCCAAGAAGGAAGTGATTAATGAGAAACTTCCTAACAATCACTCTGTATTCTCTAGATAACATGACCAAACTTCTGTGCAGTACAAGGGGGGAACAGAGTAGCCCAAGAAACAGATGCTGAAAAGAATAAGACTTTGGAAGCAGAGAGTAATTTCATGATAGAATGAGAATCTGTGGAATTTAGATAGATAGATGAAAGCCCTGCTGAAGTTCTCTGAGCCCTAATCTCTGTTGTCTTTTGGGTTGCGTCTAGCTTCATTCCCATCCATGAATGCTCCACAAACTACTGCATTAACAATCAACATCAATGAAAATAAATGCTGGGTTCTGCCCTGTGTGACTCGAAACAGTGACAGAGACTTACTATCCTTCTGTGGCTGCACATGCTTATATGAAACTGTACCAGCAGAGACTTGCAAACAATATCCCATATAAGTTTAGCTTAAAATAAATAAATTGCAAGTGAACTCTACTAGGGTTTAGGGATGGTTTTTGCTAGCCAGTCTTTTGTTTGTTTCCGATTGGCAGAGTGTATAAATCAGAGGTGCTGTGGTACATGGACCGCAGAATTGAGGGTGGGAAGGAGATGGGTCCGTCCTGCCCCTGCTCCATCTCTGCCAGCTGCAGTAGAAGTCCTGCTGGACCGTGAGATAAGGGACTGATGGAGGAAGCAGCGCTCATGGTTCAGAGAAGGCGCGGCAGGACCTTGTCCTACCGCTGTGGCTTTTTCCCCTCCCTGTGGTTTGCCTTTTCAGTATAGTCACCTGTGCTGGCCTGAAGGCTGTGACAACTCACTGAGGCATTGTGAGAGCAGCCTGTCCTTAAATACCATGACTGCTCCAGTTCAAGCTGTCCCTCAAACCAGTGAGCTTGCAACTTGTCCCATTATTGTTATCAAACTTGTCCTTTTCTGTTTCTCAAAGACTTTGTTTATTTGATCTGTTTGAACATACTGCCAGCATTGACTAACAGTGCAGCAGATGCAGTAAAGATGAGTGTTGTCTTAGTTTTCTGTTTATGTCTCAGACTTGATACATCTAGATCCCTGTTTACCCACGTCTTGCCTGTTTCCTCATCTATAAAACAGAGCTAGTGCTACTCATTCCTGTCACTGTAGCAATAACTGATGAGTATGTGAGGGATCTCAGAGACTAGATACGTGTCCTGCTGTGGTTCACCGTGGCCATTACAATGCAGTCCAGAAGGGGAAAAGAGGGTTGAAAGAGCACTGTGAGCACCCCTGCTTCCACAGCTGGGTGTGGGGCCGCCTTTTGAAGGGGTAATTGTCCCCTTCCACACAGAAGGAGAATTTGTCCCCTTCCACATAGAAGGAGAATTTGTTCCCTCCTGGGGGACTTGAATATTTTGCTCATGCTCCTTGGGTTAGCCCTGGAGCCCTGCATTATGACTGCTGTACTCAGACCTTCCCTCTCTACAATGAAAAATGGGCCTGGCAGGAGATTTGTAGATGTGCAATAAGAGACAAGTCTGGCCTGGCAGGGAGTTGTACCAAATGACCCGAGAGTTATTACTGCCTCTGTCCTGAGTTGGTGAGAGAAGGTTATTTTCTACTGTGGACAGCAGAGTGATCGGGATGAACCAGCACGTCAGCCATTTACATCTGCGTACTTTTCTATGCTGTTCTTTCTGGCTATGGGATGGGAAATCAAACTGTAAAGCTGGCGCTGTACTAACACCAGTACCTTACTGAAGATCTGTAGAGTCCTGGTCTGGAAACTGTCTTTACAATCAGAATGCTGTATGTAAACAAAACAAAAAGGGCATATCCCCTTCTTGCAGTAGTTTTTCAAGACCTCTCTTGGTCATTTCGGATAACAAAACTGTTCTCCAGTGTTTATGATCAGAGCTGCCTCACCACACTTGTGTCATATCAGAGGTGATATTTCAATGTGCCTCAAAATAAATGTGCAGTTCTTTGTCATAAACAGTTTGCCCCTCCAAATGACATGCCTAGACTTGTACATCACAAATGTCTTATTTGGGCTTTCTTAATATATAAGATCAGTCTGTTACTATCAAGAAGGGGAGAATTATTTATCAGAAACTAAAATAAAGGAGAAAGTAAATAAAATCAACAAAAACTTCATCCAATGTACATTTAACCATTGCATAATCTAACTTTATAGATAGCAGTTTTAGAGATGTAAATGAGTAAATTATTTGTTCTACAACAATTTCAGCTTAATTCCAGCAAGAAGAAATTATGTCATTATTTTAGTTGATGTGCCAGCATAGTAGAAACGCTTCTTAGAAAGCCCATACGCTGATGATATAGATCCCTTTTAGTACAGACAAGAGGGCTGACAACCTCATTTTAGTTAATAAGATTAGTTGATGATGATTAACACCTTCTGTGCTTACTGTGGCATGAATTTACAGTGAACAAAGGAGCACTTAAGGTGATTGAAATTAAACAAGTCACAGTGCTTGTAAACAATCTAGAGAGATTTCTATTTTATGAGAAAACAAAGATACAAACAAGAGCAGAGGAAGAGTAATCCAGGGAATGATTGAAATCTACAACTGTCATGGTTTGTTAGTAAGAGCTAATTTTTGCTCTTTTTAAGGTCTCTTGCTGGTCTGGCACTAAAAAACATGCTAAAAATCAAGTTACCTTGTCTAAATGGCACACCATTTAACAAACTGGGAAAGAATCTAACCAGGAGAGCAAATTGTATTGGTTAGTAGCAATGATCAACAGCCAAATAAATCTTTGACAAACTTCTCTGATAAATTAATGTTCTGGCTCTGTGTTTAGGTGAGTGTAGCAGTGGCATATGTGATGAGGCATCCTGCATCAACAGTGGTACCTGTACTGCGAACAAAGCAGATTCATACATTTGCCTTTGCCCTCTTGGATTTAAAGGTCATCACTGCGAAGAAGGTGAGAGTATGCTGGGCTGCTTATATTTCTTTGTATGTGTTATTTAGTGTTCAATGTGTTTTCCACATAGTGACTTCCAAGGAGGTCTTATGCTATTACACTGACAGAAGAGAGTACTTCTTACTTCATCTTTCTAAAATCACATAGTGAACCCCCCCTCACTATTCACTTTGGGGCTACATCCAGCTCCTACATAATCAGTGATTCCCAAACCTCTTTGCTTATTAAAACTAACTACAATTAAGTGTCTCAAAGGATCTTAAGGATCTTAAAGATCTCAAACTTACTTTTCAGAAGTTTAAAATAATGTACTACTCCACAGCTGCACATTAACTCTAAAATAATCCCCATTTTTCTCCTAAAACCAGCGTCAGTTGTATGTGCTGAAATGTAAAGGTCT